GAGAGGGAGCCTGAACTGGCCTTCTCCTATAGCCATACTGATGAATATCTTGCATATCACCATAGAACCTTCATCTGGCGATGGATGGAGATAGAGACAGAGACCCACATTGGAGCACTGGACTGAGCTCCCAAGGTCCAAATGAGGAGCAGAAGGAGGGAGAACATGAGCAAGGAAGTCAGGACCGCGAGGGGTGCATCCACCCACTGAGACAGTGGGGCTGATCTATTGGGAGCTCACCAAGGCCAGTTGGACTGGGACTGATGGAGCATGTGATCAAACTGGACTCTCTGAACGTGTCGGACAAGGAGGGCTGACTGAGAAGCCAAGAACAATGGCACTGGGTTTTGATTCTACTGCATAGACTGGCTTTGTGGGAGCCTAGTCTGTTTGGATGTTCACCTTACTATACCTGGGTGGAGAGGGGCAGACCTTGGACTTCCCATAGCTTAGGGAACCCTGACTGCTCTTTGAACTGGAGATGGAGGGTGAGGGAGGGTGGGGGGAGGGAGGGAAATGGGAGGAGGGGAGGAGATGGAAAATTTTAATAAAAAAATATAAAATAAAAATAAAAATTGTTCTCTACACTTGGTCAGCATGCTCAAATGACTACAGATTTCTGATGATTAGCAAGCATTTATCCTTTTAATTTGGTTATTGTGTCCTTTTCAAGGAACTTATTATGGCACTTGAAACACTTAATTTACCATTAAACTATTTGCTATAAAAAGACAGACAGACAGAAAGGAAGGAAGGAAGGCAAGCAAGGGAAAAAGAAGAGAATGCCTGTAATCCAACACTGGCAAAGGGTGGGGACTAAGATGAGAAGATTCCTGGGGACTCAATAGATAGGCAGCCTAGGGGAATCAATAAGTTTTAGGTTACTAAGTGACCCTATCTGAAAAAATAGTGGAGAGCTTAATAGGAAGATGCTTAAAGTCAGAGTCTGGTCTACACACACACACAAACCTTTGCACATACACATGCATGTCCCACCCCACATGTACACCTGTACAGACATATATACACACAAATTATATTTTAAATACATTTGCAGATTCTGGCAATAGAACACTGGTTTAGTGTACATAAGGCCCTGTGTTTGATCCCAACCAGAGAAAAAGGAAGGGGTAATGCTAAAAGTATTTGCTGAAAACCTTATAAAATGTTGAAACAAAACCTTCATGTTTTCTCATCCAAGACCTGCTGCAATTTTAATGAATGTGCTTCTATCTGTACATGGTATAATTTGTCTGAAGTACAGATATTAATTAGTCACAAATGTTGAAAATCTACAGATGTCATATCTGAAAACAAACTTTTTTCTTTTCCTTTTCTTTTTTTTTGTGGGGGGGTTGGGGTGGGGACAGGATCTTATTATGTAGCCTCAACTGGCCTCGATGTAGACCAGGCTAACCTGTAACCCACAGAGCTACATCTGCCTCTGCTCCTGAGTGCTGAGTGCATATGCCATTAGGCATGGCTTCTTTTTTCTTTTTGAAACAGGGTTCTGCTGGGCAGTGGTGGAGCAGGCCTCTGTGAGTTCGACAGGCTCTAAAACTACAGTGAAACCCTGTCTCGAAAAACCCAAAAAGAAAAAAAAGAAGAAAAGAAAAGAAAAAAGAAGAAGAAAGAAAGAAACAGGGTTTTATTCTGTAGCTCAGGCTGGCATGAAATTTGTTATGTAGCCTACACTGACTTAAAATCAATGATCCTTTGGTCTCATTTCCCAAGTGCTGGGATTATGGGGTCTCAAACACGCTAGACTGGCACTCTACTACTGATCTTCAGACATATCCCCAGCCTTAAAGCTGTCTTTTGTATATTTGTGATATCTATCTATCTATCTATCTATCTATCTATCTATCTATCTATCTATCTCAGGGTCTTACAAGTCCCAGGCTGGCCTTGAACTTTCTATGCAGCTGAAGATGACCTTGAAATTCTGATAATTTTGCCTCTACTTTCTGAGTGCGAGCCTTACAGGTGTGTGCAACACTACAGGTTGAAATAATGCTGGGGATCTGAAGTCAGGGCTTTGCCCAGGTTAGGCAAACAGTCTACCAACTAAGCTACATCCTCAGTCCTAAATATAGTTCTTGACATCCCTTATGATTAGAAATCTCAGAGAAATTAAATTACAGAAAATAAATATTTTGGCACTTTAGAGATGATTTTTAACATTTCTAATTATGTTTATAATTTGTCAGATGTAAAAATGTGTTGTTTTAGGGCTGGAGAGATGGCTCAGCAGTTAAGAGCACTGGCTGCTCTTCCACAGGTCCTAGGTTCAATTCTAGGCATCCACATGGCAGCTAACAGTTGTCTGTAACTCCAATTCCAGGGCTTCTGACACCCTCACACAGATATACATGCAGAAAAAACATCAATGAACATTAAATAAATTATTTTTTAAAAGTTGTTTTCCCTAATGGTAACCTAGAGGAATGCTCTTAAATGTAATATTCAGACAGAAAAATATTAGTCTGAGCTTTGTAACTGCAGTCTGTCTCAATTCTGTACAGCCTAATCGAGTACAACTTTTGTTCTGAGATACTAACACTTTTCACCGTGGACTCCAGGTAAATTTAGCTTAAAGGCCTCTTCTGTTGTTCAGATTTGACTAAAAAGGGCTTTTCCATCACACTCCTCTCCTCTCAGAGAAAAAGCTCTTTCAGAAATGAAAGAGGGAACTGTCAAAGTTGAAATGTCTTACTTAAAAGCAGCGACTAGAGCTGAAGCCATGATACCAATTCTTTTGCATGTTATCTATCTGTCCACTAGGTGACGCAATATATCTTATTGTTCGGCCTTCTACTCTGTTCTGTTCATGGTATTTGTTTCAGGTACCAGCCTGGTGCTGTCCATCTGTCCCCCTACCCGCAGTCTCTCTCCTTTCTCTTTCTCTTTTTACTTGTATGTTTGTGGTGCTCTCCGTGAAAATCCACATGCTAATGAAGTGCTAGATAGACAGGCGCCATTAGCTTTCCTAATCTTTCATGATTCAGAAATTAATAAGAAAGGGGGGCGTAATACTAAGGAGACCCTTAAAAACTAAGATTTTCAACAAGAAACAGCATGCTGGGAGTGAGAAGAGCCTGCCCCAAGTGCCCTGGTTCCAGGGATCAGGAAAAGATTTATCTCCCAGTTTCTGTAACTTGGACCTACAACTAAATCTACATACATATTTTTCTTTTTTGAAAAGTGAGGGCTTATTTTTGTTTTGTTTGCTCTCCAGGATATTTTCTGGCCCAGAATTTGCTGTGTAGGTGAGGTTGAACTCTCGTCTTTCTACTCCTCTTAAATGCTGGAATAACAGGCATTCATCATCATGGTCAGCCTTTTTTTTTTTAAACAACTGGAATATTAGGCACAACAGGAAACACTCAGGGGCTTAGTTAGCAGAGCTCCAGAGAGGCAGAGAAGGCTTGGGGGGTAGGTCAGGAAGGGAACACGTCGAGAGACTTGTTAATGGAATGGTACATTTAGAAGAATGAGGAAAGTATTGACAGAAGAGCGAGCTGAGGAAGGGGTGGGTGGTGGGCGCCGGGTGGGAGCAGAGAGATGGGAAAAGCAGGGTGGGCTAAGGCCCTGGGTCCGGGGCAAGGAGTGAAGGCTCTGTGGGCTGCTGTAGGTTTTAGAGGGGCGCTCTGAGGCGGAGGGGGGGCAGGGGGACCGGGGTTGGGGGGGGGAACATGGAGCGCGGCGCATGCGTCGGAGCGCTCTGCTGCGCTCCCTGAGAGGCTATGAATTTGTGGCATCACCGCAGAGGCTGCGAGTACAGCAGGTTTCGTACCTGGCGCTCACCGCCGTTAATTCTAGGTTGCTGTCACCTAGGCACGTCTCTCTGTCCCGCCACTCTCTCCACGCTCTCCGCACTGCAGAAGTAAGGATTTTTGCTACTACGACACTCGCTTCAGCAAGAGGTAAAGGAACGACGAAGGGCAAAAATATAACATGGAGGGCGGCAGAGGGAACGTGGGTCAGGAAGATCCTTAATTTGTGCACTCTTCCCTTTGACGGGAGGGAAAAATGGAGGCCAATAGAGCCCCAGCCCTCCAAAAGGATGTTGACCATTTACTTAATATTATGAAAAAGATTTTTTAGACAATCTTCTAAGCACGTTTGGGGCACCTGAGCATCACTGCTTCCCTTGACATCCTATTGAAAACAAAACTTTCGAGTTCTTTATTTGTTACGAGTGTATCAAAAGGATGAGGCTTTATCTGTTTGTTTAATTGGTTGATTTTTGGTCGTTGTACCCTCCCCCCCGCCCGAGTGTGTGTGCGCGCGCGCGTTCTCGTATTGAGGCTGAGGGATGCGGGTTTTGAACTCTCAGACATCATACTAAAACTGGGATTAAAGGCGTAAATTGCCACGCCCGGCTGATTCAGTGGTTTAGCACACGATGTGTCCTTGCTTTTCTTTAGGTTGGAGGGTTTTTACTATATTAAAGGAACCCGCGGACTTCATAACCTCTCCCTTACGATGCTGGCGGATTGCATCTAGATTTGGGATGCACTTTATCACCGATGCCTTTTTTTCCCCATATGCAATTTAGCTGGTTTATCACAGTTAACCATGCTAGGTTATGTTGTTAATGATACCCTTAGACACCAGGGCACAACATTGGGGAGAAACGCGTGCAGATGCACCGGTCATAAAAATATAGTCATTCACAGACACAGGGAGGGGTAAGAGACTAGCAAAGACAGACACGCTTGGCGTGGACTTTTAGATCCCAAGTGAGGAATCGTAGCACCAAGAGGTGGCGCTCAAGTACTTTTGAGAAAAATCTGACATAAAGGGAGGGGCTCCACTGGCACGGGCGATCGTGTGGCGTTCGGTAAGGGTGGGGTAGAGAGGCGAGAAGGTGTAACCACGCATGCTCATTGAAAGCAAACGAGTCTACGCGGCAATCAAAGTGCGCTTGCGTAAGGGAGCACGCTGACCGTTTTGAGTTCATAGCTAGGGATGGAGAAGTGCGCTTGCGTGTTGCCAATGGCTTGGCTGGGAGGGCGGGAGGCGCGCGCAACGTTCTGGTAATTATGATTGCGAAATAGCGAGTGGTTCGGTAAGTTGTCCTTCGTCCAAATCGCCATTTTAGGCTAGGAGAGGCAAATCTAGTTTTCTACTTGTTGAAGGGATCAGTCGGAGTTGGAGGCTACGGCCAAACCCAATGAAAATCATTCAAGAATCTTAAGTCCCTGGTCAGTCTGATAATGAGAATTTTAAAATGCAGCGTAGTGAGGCTGTAAAATGTTGCTGCCGCAGCATGTTGCGCTTAACTATCCACCCACGTCCAGACAAAGCCTATTCGAAAGACTCCTGAATCATCCTGGCCGATCTTGGTCCTCGGATTTATCCCACCAGAGTAGCCGAACGCAGTGACTACGATGTCTGCCTAAAGCGCGTGCAGCTTTCTCCCCTACAGAGTATACACGAGAGGATTTGGCTAGTTCTAAACGCAATAACTTTGAAACCTAAGATCTGGGCAAATGATCATCTGAAACTTACTGACACGCAGACACAAAAGTAAAAGCAGTGGAAATATGAAAGAATCCCGAGCTCAGGCCCGCCCTTTTCTCTCCCTATTTATCTATCTATCTATCTATCTATCTATCTATCTATCTATCTATCTATCTATTTATCTCTATTCCTAATGTAGAACTTTCTGCATGGTTTGATCTGAGGTAAAGTTGGGAAATTGGAGGTTGGTTGTTTCATTTTGTTTGTCTGCTGACCTTTTGTGCCTCTGAGGATTGCTAGTGAAAATATAACTAAAGCTAAAACTGATCTTTTAGCTTTCAGATATAGAAAAGGATACAGAGTTTTAGAATGAGATTTCTGTTAATCTTCTCAATCTTTTGCTGTTCCTATTTCAATCTCTGGGCCTGTATCTAATATGTACAGGTCTATAGTACTTACTAGCACAAGATACCAGTCTAAAGGTTTTATATAATGCTATGGGATAGCTATAGTATTACTCATTTTATTACAGTTGAGAACTTTGAGGAACACAGATTAATTTGCCTAAGGTTTTATAGGTAATTGAATGGTCGAGCCTGGGTACTTCTCCACGATTTATTGTTGCATAATCCTGTGCTCTTAAGCATTCCTTATCCCTTAGAACGAAGGACATGTTTAAGGGAATTATTTCAATTTTTGTTTGAAATCATGAACCTTAAACAAATCATTAGAGGAGACTGTTTACTGTTTTTACCTCAATGCATAGTAAGTATTTGCTTAAAAGAATGAAAGACAAAAGTGAATTTTTGATTTGGCACCTCTGGGCGTGGCGTGGCTCTCTATGTACAGTTGTCTTTTGTATTTGTCGTTCTGCAGAGGCCATAAAATGGCCGACTGCAGCATGCTGGACACACCCTTGTTTTTGCTTGATTTATTATTTGTTCCAAGTGTTTAAGGCGACTAGACTTGGCTGCATATTTTTAAAAGACATTTTATTGCTAATTTGTTGTGTTGGCTCTAATGTCTAATAGTGTAGATTAACTTTTGCTGGTAATATAAAAAAAGTACAAGTTAAAAGTGTTAGAATAGGTCCACGAATATGGAATTGTTATATCAAATAGTATGATCATTTTAACACTTGGTCAAATAAAATTTGCCAAATTCTTCCCCAAAAGGTTGTGCCATTTTTTTTAACTCAGAAGTACTGTGTTGTGTATTTAGATAAATTGTTTAAAAAACAGCATCTTATTTCCTTTTTTTAGGTTAATTTTTTTCTTTGTATGTTTCTCAGTTTTATTTTTAATCATGTGATATTTTATATCTTAATATCTGTTGAAATTTTAACTTTATTGCACATTGCCTATTAGTGTTCTGTTACTCCGATTTTTATAACCCGAGTATTTGGGAGAACGAGGCAGGAGGATTGCTATAAGTGCTACATAGCAAAACCCTGTCTCATAAAACAATAACAAAAATCCATTAAGGGACACAGAAAAATTACATCTTGGTAAAACCATCTGAACCAAGGGACTTTTTTTTGTATGTTTCAGAATAACAATTTTAGTAAAACATAAGATTTGCTGTACCAGACAAGTCATACAAAATTATCACCCCCCCAAAATTTTGTTTTTTGAAGGGAGTAATCTACATTTTATAGTAAGGGCTGTGGGGTTTATTTTCTGGTTTGGGATCAGTCTGTTTGGTTATCGACAGCGTCTAAACACTTAGACATTACTAGAAGAGAATATTTTAAAGAACTGGTTATATGTTTTTAAAACATGTAAGTAAAGCACCATAAAGAAGGGCAGAAAACACATCATCCCTGACGTTCATCCTGACAATTTATTATTCTTAAACCACGATAGGGGAAATAATGAAAAACAGAGCCACTGCTGTAAAAGTTGTGCAAAAGCCTAAATGATGCTGCATTTTTTTTGCTGATGGATCCTCTGGATTAGGAGCATATTTTAAAAAGCCCTGCAGAACTGTGGGTGTGCAGTACTGGTTACAGCGTGTCTTTCAAAATGAAAACATTTTCTCAATTTGTCTACATTAAAATACACAACTTGGTCATGAAATACACTTAAGATGCTGCCAATTCTGGGTATTTCAGGTTTAAACTCCCTTCCCCAAAAAGGGAATTCTGATGGTCAGCAGTGACCACGTGAAAGTAACTCTTTGTTCTTGGGCATTGTCCGTCTCTTTCCCCCCTCCCGCCCCACTCCTCGTAAGGTTATGCCGCTGGGGCTGCTGGAGCCTTGGCTGACTTCCAGTTCCTTACGTAGGCGAGAAGGATGTGAACGCTAGATAGACTCACATCACCTCCTAAATATTTTTCTCATATGATTCTAGTTTAACGCCGGAAAGTTGTTCAGCCAGCAAACTCACGCTTTCCCTAAAGATCCCTAGTGGAGTGCTTAACCATCTTGTTGGCTTTTCCCTCTTACGCGTGGAAGGCTCAGCATCCATTTCCGGGTGACATCGTGTCTACTGCTGCAGGCACCACAGCCCCTTGGGAAATGTAGGCTCAGAACGTACACAGCATGAGCCTACTCCACCCCCACCCCCACCCCTGTCCTAAGGAAGCATCTTTTCTCGCCCGTCACGCGCGGAGCGCGGGTGGCAGAAACGGAAGTTACGTGCTACGCTCGCGCTGGTGAGTGGGGAAGGGAAGGGGGGGTAACTGGAGCACAGGCGCTGGCTGCACTCCCTGCAGCGCTTCCTGCTGTGCCTTTGCCAGATGGTGGGATTTCCGGATAAATTTTTACAGTGGTAATCTCTCCTCAAAGAGACTCCCACTGTTGCACAGTTTTGAAAAAAGGAGTGAAAATGTTTCATTATGTTTTTTAATGTGCAAGTGAATCAGGTGTTCTCAGACGTGGGGAAGGGTGTTCTTTGATACCTGAAACCGGTTACTCCTGGTACATACGGTTTGGGTTTTGTTTTTTGGTTTTTTTTTGAAACAAGGTTTCTCTGCAGCTTTGGTGCCTGTCCCGGAACTAGCTCTTGCTTAATTAAGGTTTATTAGATAATACAAATACAGTGGTCTAACCTCTCTCTCTCTCTCTCTCTCTCTCTCTCTCTCTCTCTCTCTCTCTCTCTCTCTCTCTCTCTCTCTCTCTCTCTCTCTTCTCCCCCCTCCTTCTCTCTCCCCTCTCCTCGGTTTTTTCGAGACAGCCCTACCTACCCTGGAACTCACTCTGTAGACCAGGATGGCATCGAACTCTCACAGAGAGTCTCTGACTCCCAAAGTGCTGGGATTAAAGACATGTGCCACCACCGCGTGGCAGTCTTAACATTTCAATCCCATATTCATGTCTCATCTATTTTGCATTTAATAGTCTATTTTTTATCTTTGTGTGTGTGTGAGGGGAGATATCTCATGTAGTTTAAGATCCTCCTGCCTCCAGTACCCCAGTGCTGGGATTGTGGGTGGCATTGCTAAGTCTTGTTTTTAGTTATTATTTATATTTTTTTTCCTTATTTTTGAAGCAGTCTCACAGATGTGGCTCAGGCTAGTCTGGTGCTCCCTGTATAATGCATGCTGGCTGCCAGTATATGGAGATCGTCCTTCCCTAGACTCCCAAGTACCAGGATTATAGCCCTGACAAACGGAATTTTTTTATTATTATTATCAGAATAGATCGTGGATTTGGGGGTTTAAAGGAGCCAAGTAGGCTTAATTGCTTTCGACTACTTAGTTACTCTGACTTTACCCTAGTTAGTTGTAACATCTTATTTTTCAGCATTTTTCTAGCTGTAGATAGTATTAAATAAAGCTTGTATGTGGTAAGTTGGAAGGACTATGGTTGAAAACATCCTTTTTGGAGCACTGTGTCTTTCCACCCCATGCCAGCATCTGCTTCTCCAATCTAACTAGGATTGGAAATTAAGGAAAATGCTAATTATGAAAAAGCCAAACAGTTTTAAAAAGTATTTAACCCTTGATTTGTGCAACTGGTTTTTCTCCTGCAGTTGTTAACCCCCAGCAGTCTGGAGAAGCCCACCCTGGGAAGAAATTTTACATCAGCCATTATCGTATTAAGTCTTACAGCACCTATCAGATTGTGTTCTGACAGTTTACATGCCTCTTTTCTTTGTTCCCTCTTTTCTTATGTTCCCATGAGGCCAGGGCAGATTTCATTTCCAAAGCTCATTCTGGCATATTAGTAGGCCTCAGTAATATTTATTGGATGAATAAATGAATTAGTCATCGACAAACCTTTGTGTGCCTGCTAAAGTGATCTCTACAGGTTCTTGACTGTCAAGTGTTTCTTCAAAATGATGAGGCACGTTTCCTAGTCATTTATTTTCTCCGGGATTTTTGCGTTTGGATTTGAGACCTTGGTATTTACACGTTTCTGCTTTTGGTATTGCTGACATTTACTTCCTTGGTGGGACCGGGGTGCTGTTTGTTAGAGCTGAGCCTCATCCTAATGGCCCAGTGTTTGCCTGATGCTCTTTTTTTTTTCACTCTTTTCTACCCCTCCCTCACACACAAGGACCTTCAACACTAATGGAGTCATGTAGTATAAAGGCATGTAGCCCCAGGATCCCATGTAAATACGTTTCTGTTGGAAATGAGCCATGTTCACTTCAGAACACTTACCTCCAGATACTCTGGCAAAACCTTTACCCCACTTCATGCACCTAGGATCCGTTTGGCATTTTAGAAACGCATTCAGCAGCCTATGGTAGGCACAGCATTTGAAAGTTTAGGCAGGAGGATCGCAAATGAGTTTGAAGGTAATGTGGGATACATATAGGATAGCCCCTCTCTCCTCCCTTTATCCCCCCCCCCAAAGGTTGGTATTACTTTTGGCAACTCTTGTTTTATCAGATATGCTAGAAGCTTTTAAGTTTTTAGGGTCTTATAGTTACTAATTGTCTTTCAGGATCTATTTTTGAGCATTAACTCTAGACCATCATTTTTCTTTTTGTGTTCTTCCAGGAAGAATAGTTTATTGAGTGCACTGCAAGAGGATGGCCTGCTTCCCCTTTAAAAAATACCCGTGATATGGGCTGGAGAGATGGCTCAGTGGTTAAGAGCATTACCTGCTCTTCCAAAGGTCCTGAGTTCAATTCCCGGCAACCACATGGTGGCTCACAACCATCTGGAATGAGGTCTAGTGCCCTCTTCTGGCTTGCAGACATACACACAGGCAGAATATTGTATACATGATAAATAAATAAATATAAAAAAAAATACCCGTGATAATGACTTGAAGGATGTGGACATGGCAAATCTAGATGCCTTGCCACTTGCTTCCCTGCCCACACCATGAATATTTGCAGTGAGACTGCAGAGCTTTGGATTGAGGCAGAGAAGTAGGCTGAGGCAAATATTTAGACTTTGGTCCCTGTGCTTGGTTTTGTTTATTTTTGGCGATGCCGGGAGCTGGAACATGCTAGAACCCTGTATATACTAGATATGCTAACTAAGTGCTGTCCTAGTGAATTACAACAGTATCTTCTGTTTGGGGTAGGCACTAAACTTGTGCTTTGTTTTGTTTAGGTCTGATTTCTTAGAACCCTAGCTATCTGGCATATGTACCTGAGGATGACTGAATTTATACGAGGCCTCTGCGCGAGTGCTGGGGTTACAGGTTTGTGTCACCGTTCCTGTTTTGTTTTTATTCAAGGCTAGTAATGCAACCTAGTGCTTCCTGCGTGTTAAATGAATACTTTACCAACTCATCTATATTATCACCACCCCCAACCCCACCCCTGACTTTTAAAAAAAGAACTCACTTTTTTGAGATAGTGTCTCATGTAGACCAGTCTGGCCTCAAACTTCTCATCTCCTGTCTCAGTCTCCAAAGTGCTAGGATTGCAGGTATGTGCTATTTGACCTGGCAATTAATAGTGTTACTTTTGTTTTTTAGCCTTTATTTTTGTGAATATGCATGTTTTGCCTGCAGGTTCATGCAGTGCCCTCAGAATGGTGTTCTCTAGTTCCCCAGAAGAACATACTGGGTCGCTTGGAACTGGAGTTATACTGGGTTGAGAACCACCAGTTTGGGTACTGGGAAGAGCAGCTGATGCTCTTAACTGCCAGAGCCATCTCTCTAGTCCCTCAATTTTTTTTAATGCACTAATTTTTAAATTAAGTCAGGCCATTTGTGATCAGTTGTATGCTTTATAGAAAGAGGTGTGGAGAATGGGTAATGGTTGGAAAAAATCAAACACCTAAAACCACAAGGCCATACATCTGGTGCAGAGATGGTTCTGCTTCTGGGGCAAGAGCTGCACCTGCAGGAAGCCTCTTTGTAGAAGCGCTCCTGGCTGCACTTCAAGGCCTGTTTCTTCTTGGAAGAGCTGGTGCAGAAACTGGATTCAATTGTAGCACAGGAACAATTCGGGAGTGGAGGCAGCAGCCGGTGTGCTAGGAGGAGGCCTGATCTAAGCTTCTAATTTTTCACCAGAGAAGCCAGGAGTACGAAGTAATTCATTTACTCAGATGTATTCTGCTAGCCAACTAGGGTTTTGATAAGAGTTTAGAGCCTACCCCTGTCCCAAGACAAAAGCTCACTGTTTTGATGGTCTCCCTAAGAGTCTGTGGTGATTCATTTTGCTACACTGAAAAGTTAAAGGGCTATAAGTCAGATAGATGTAAGGAGGCTAAGAAGCATAAACTCTGCTTCAGGGTATAAATTTATGGGAGTCCAAGGCCCTGACTTTGATTATCACCAACACCAAAGCAAACATTAAAAGCAAGAAAACCCCACCCTAATAGGGTTGAGATTGAAGATCTGGGCCACTGTTGCCTGCAAGAGCTTAATCATCCCTTGCATCAAAAGAAAAGTAACATGGAGGAACGTTGTTGAGGCTTATGTCATGATGTGTTCTTTCTGGAGGTAACTTGCTACGTTTCTTTTTTTTTAAAACATATTTATTTATTTATTATGTATACAATATTCTTTCTATGTGTATGTCTGCAGGCCAGAAGAGGGCACCAGACCTCATTACAGATGGTTGTGAGCCACCATGTGGTTGCCGGGAATTGAACTCAGGACCTTTGGAAGAGCACGCAATGCTCTTAACTATTGAGCCATCTCTCCAGCCCCTTGCTACGTTTCTTACACCACCTGATTATGAATGAAAGTACCCACATAGAATGCCTAATTCCTAGATTTTGTAATGAAAATTTTTACTGTATTTGCTTCATCTTATTCATTCCCAATTGTTGGTTTTTGTTTTTGTTTTGTTTTTTGTTAATGAAAATAAGCTTTATTACATCAAGAAATAAATACAAAGATGCAACAGTTGGAGTTGTTTTCCTTCCAGATGTTGTGACCATCTCACAGGATCCACAGTGTCAGGATGGACATTTGCAGGGCGCGTGGCAGGTGGGTAGATTGCTCTTCTGTATTTATAACTTGTGCATGTTTAAGATTGACTTCAAAGCACTCAGTCATGCAAAGGCTTAAGCAGAGCAGCTCTGTGAAGCAGGCAGGAAAGCTTACTAAGCAGATGTGCTGTGCTCTGCACTCAAGTCCGCAGAGGCAGGTGAGCTCATGGAAAGGAAGTCAACTGGGGTGAGGCAAATGGCAAGTGTATCCAAAGGGAGATTTTAAAGGGGACACTGGTATTTGGGGGCAAACAATAGCTTGCTGTGAAGTGGCTTCACAAACATCTTTCAAATCAATGCTTGGGAAGAAAAAAAAGAGCTGGATCGTGTCTAACTACTTAAAATGCAGCCGTCAGTAACTGCAAAATGTCTTCCCAGTCTTCTGGATGTGCGTTCAGAGCTTAATGACCATGGCAGGAAAACCACTGCCATTTTGAACAAAGCCTCTCATCTCCACGGGATAGTGAGATGGGCCTTCAGACTGGCCAGGGGCTAGGACCTGGCATTATGTTCCGTTTCGGCCAAGCACTCCCGAACCAGGCTTCGGGCATGAAAGATGCCTGGTTTTAGTCTCTCCATGGTGCTCTCGCTCCCTGAGTACATGGGTCTGATCTCTTTCCCCCAACTCTTCAATGATGTCCAGCAGCTCTGCATATTTACTCTGATGCACTTGGCTATTTCCAGTTCCCTGGGTGTAGCCTAGTGATGGTGGCCCATAGTCACTTAGCTGGCGATACTGGGAGGATGTCGCCATAATAGTAGAAGGCGAGTGGACACTTCCAGCATGGAGGCGGCGGCAGGCATGTCAGTACGACAACCCCGCAGGCGGCAGGTGCGCTGGGCAGAGCCGGGCTAGGCAGCGAGCTCGGCAGCGAGGCTCGGCCCGGGCCGGGCAGCCCCACGTTCCTGCGCCTGTCCGAGTGCCCATGCACTTTTTGTTGTCGCTGGCTTGGGCCACGCTGGCAAATATGGCCGTCCCTCACCCTGCCCACCACCGCAGTAGACCATCCATCGGGTCCCGATTGTTGGGTTTTAAAAATCTTTGTTGTGCCGGCCAGGGGAGGGAAATGCCTTTAATCCCCAGAAATTGGGAAGCAGAAGCAGTGGTGTCTCTGAGTTCACGGCTAACCTGGTCTACAGAGTTAGTTCCAAAACAACCAGGACTGTTACTCAGAAACCCTATATTAACAAAACAAAAACATTCTGTTTTATCTTGTATCTGATTTATCAGGGTGTAGAGGAGCAGCTTTTTTATCTGTTTTGTTTTATTTTGTTTTTTGAGACAGTAACCGGGTTTCTCTGTAGGTTTGGAGCCTGGCTGGAACTCACTTTGTAGGCCATGGTGGCCTCATCACAGAGATCCTTCTGTCTCTGCCTCCTCAGTGCTGGGGATTAAAGGCTGCCCTACCACCACCAAGCCCATTTTGCTTTTGAAAGAAAGGTTTTTACTCTTTGTTTGTTTAAAACTGGAGGTGAAAGAAAAGGTGTTAAACCCTTTTTCTTCCTCAGGAGCAAATGGCTTCCTAAGTATTCCCTACTGGATAAAAGTCTAAAATAAAATGACAATGGCAGTGTTGTTAGCATTTGCAATCCTAGTCACAGGATTTTAAATTTACCCTGCTACTGAGTTTTTCTTTGATCAATGAGAAAAGAGTTCAAAGCCAGCAGGTGGTGAGGTAATGCCCGGCTTTACTCCCCAGCAGGCAGAGACAGGTGGATCTCTGTGTTCAGGCCAAAAGGTCACGCAACAGGGGGCTAAGCAGGGACCCCAGTTCTCTAAAAACAAAACAAGACGAACAAAAAGGAACCTGACCTGAGTGGCTCACTGCTTTAATCCCTATGCAGGCACCACACATATCTAAAAACAAAGCAAGCCAAACAAAAAGAAACCGGACAAAAGTGGCTCACTGCTTTAATCCCAGTTTGCGGGAGGCAGAGACTCGCGGATGTCTGAGTTTGAGGCCAGTCTGGTCTACAGAGCAAGTTCCAGGACAGGCTCCAAAGCTACAGAGACATCCTGTCACTCTGGGGTACCTCTGTTAACAATTTAAATGGAAGGGTAGAAACCATCTCATAGTCCTCTTTATATTTCTCAGGGTTTTTGTTTTTTTTTTGTTGTTGTTGTTCTGGTTTTTCAAGATGGTTTCCTGTGGCTTTGAGGCCTGTCCTGGAACTAGCTCCTGCAGACCAGACTGACCTCGAGGCATGCGCCATTACTGCCCGGCTCTTTATTTCTCTGTAATAAAGGTTTATGTTCATTACTAGGTGTATGTATCCCCAAATATGTACTTAGGGATATATAAAAAAGGTTTAAGGGTGGGCATGTCCACAGTTTTGTTAGCAGTAAATAATGGGAAACCTATTCATGAGTAGGAATTCTGTTAAATAAAATTTTCGTATTTGTGCACAATAGAACCGCAAGCTGGGCGTGGTAGCACAACCTGTATCAAAAACATATCAATGTAGAAGAAACTCAAAACAGCAATCTATTTTTTTTTTATTTCTTTATTTTGTTTTCCAAGACAGGTCTTTTCTGTGTAGCCATGGCTGTCCTGGAACTTGCTTTGTAGACCAGGCAAGCCTTAGACTCATTAAGATCCGCCTGCCTCTGTCTCCCAAGTGCTGGGATTAAAGGTGTGCCCCACCATCACCCAACTTCAGAGTTATAAAATTAATGTTATAAAAGATTTACTTGGACGGTGGTGGCGTATGCCTTTAATCCCAGCACTCGGGAGACAGAGGCAGGCAGATCTCTGTGAGTTTGAGCCCAGCCTGGTCTATAAGAGCTAGTTCCAGGACAGGCTCCAAAGCTACAGAGAAACCCTCTCTCAAAAGAAAAATAAATAAATAAAAGATTTACAATAGATTTGCTTAGTAGAATTAGCACAAAGTAGAATTGGCTAGGGGAGCTCTACCTCTAAAAGACAGGCAACCAGGCAGTCCTATTAGAGATTAAAAGAAATTCAGGGTACTAGGGTGTAAAATGTTTATTCATCATGATTAACCATCTTTTAAGGCCCATTCCCATAACAAAGGAGACAATCCTGATTTAACCAGACATTAGAACATTCCCAGAAAATATGCTTCTAACTGGCAGCGCAAGGGGGCAGTGTAGATTCACAGCCAAGATTAAGGCCTGCCTTTCCATAAAGCCCCAGGCTCTCTGTTGGGAAAAGCTTAATTCTGCCAGATGGAATATCATCCTGGGTAACAACTATTTGAAAAGAAAACATTCATGTATTTAAGAAACATTCTGAAAAGAAAAATAAAAAGGAATTCTGGCTAAGTGGACAATGGTGGCACACACTCCTTGTCCCAGCACTAAGGTGACAGAGGCAAGCAATTCTCTGAATTCAAAGCCAGCCTGAACCTCAAGAACACCACCACCCAATAAAGAGAAAAAAATAATCATGGCACTCTCTTTGGTATTTAAATCTCCCATCGTCCAAGTGGCCAGGCTGAATCTCCAGTGTCTGTTTATATTGCTCAAAGTGTAACCTCGAGCCAATAGAGGTTTAAGGATGACAGCATATGCGGAATGCATAAGCCTAAGGTGTATGTAAGGCAGTTAAATCTATTCAAGGCAGGCTCCTCTTTGAGCATTAGGCAGAACTGGATGAGCATTATTAAAGAGTTTTTTCCTTTATTAATCTCTTAAGTGTGTGGGGTGATTTCTCACTGGGAAAAGGGATATGGCAAAATAAAAAGACAGCAATAAGGTGAGTATGGTGACCTAGTCCTGTAATTCTTGCACCTGGGATGCTGAGGCAGCATAATCAGTTTAGAGTCATCTTCGCTATATAGAGTTTAAGGCTTGCCTGAATTAACTGAGACCCTGGCTCAAAACAAAACAAATGTCTTGTGGGTCCAGGGGGGTCTCGCAAAGATGAGAATACCACCAAGTCTAATAAACTAGAAGCAAACTTTATTCTAGAAACCAGATCCTAGGAAAACCAGAAGCAAACTTAAAAATGAAAAATAAAAATAAAACATCGCGGGGCACAGAAGCTTATCAGCTAGCTGAGACTACAGCCAGAGATGGTGTTTGTTAGGCTGTGGCAAAAGGCCGGTTTAGGAACCCACTTTTTATAGTAGGGACACCAGGCATTAGCTCTGAACAAAGGAATTCTTAACAACCTTGCCCTGACTCTTGGGTTAGTCAGCAGAGACCCTAAAGAGGGGAGTGAATGCTAATGTCAATGAGTAACTAGGCAGCCATTATGAAATATGTTTCAGAGGAGATTACAACAAAGGTCATTAATTGCAAGAAAACAGATGTCTTTAGCAATTAGTCCAAAAGGGACTGCTAGTAATACTAGAAGCTTAATAAATTAGGATTAACTGGTTCTTAGGCTGAGAATTTAGGAGATAGCAGAAAGCTTTTCATACTATCTCAAGGTAAAACTCAGATATTGACTGTCATACTTTACAGCCTCCATTATCAGAGCTCATCAATTAACCCATTGTCTTTGTCCACTGTCTCCTGGTCCCTCCAGGTGTAAACTGGAGTCTTATGCCTCGCCTCTGGTGGCGCCAGTTTTTCATAACGGAGACAGTGTCTAACCCAGAGGTCACATATCTCTGTCTTCTAAAGGTTAACTCAGTTCATATCTGTCGTTTATCAAGGATGGCCAGGACACTACTCTCAATCTGTAGGGAGAAGCTCTTGCCTTGTAAATAAAACAGCCAATTATAAAATGACCTATGCTTCCCAAGCATCTGAGAAAATGAATGATCCTTGATCTGCTGAGAAAGCTGCTGATAGTCTGTTCTCATTCTCCTAGACTTATAACTTTATATTTCTTTATTTTTACATTTTTATTTTTGGAATCTACATTTTTATTTTATTCTCATGAATGAATATTTGACTTACATTGCATTATAGAAATTTAAGAAAATGGTTGCTATAACTTTGATAAATTCAGAGCTCCTGCTTATCCTTACACATGAAAATTAGGAGAAATATACCTCACTTGTTAGCCTGGATGGCTTTGTTTTTGTCCTTATTAGATTTGTGGGGATTTTTTCTTACTTTGCAATGGGTTGAGCAAGGCCTTGAATTCATTCAGCATGGCACTCTTAACACCACTGCAGATAGTCAGTCTACTCCCACTGAGTTGAGCTTTTATTATTGGTTGGCAATACTAGGCATCTTAACTCAGGACCTTGGACTTCAGTGGATGCAGGTACAAAGATCTGTTCCCTGAAGGGTTTTAGGGTTTTGCATCTGACGAAGTTCTTTTCCTCTTCAGTGCAGTAACCTTAACAGAAGTAGAGTAAATAGAGCAGTACTTGGAGGCTAAGACATTCATTTAGAAAAGAGCGGGCCTGTGTCATGACAACAGGGAACTGTGGTAATAAGCTTCTTTTTTTTCCACCCAGAGAAAGGAACTGCCAACCAGGCAAGTGCAGGCATTTTACAGACCACGGTTTATACTTAACATTTATTTCCCTGTTAGGTCATGTCCACATTCCTTTTCCCACTTTTGGCTCTATGGATTAAACACATTATAAAATGGGGAGTGGCAGCAGCTGCTCATGGCTGTGCAGATTTTAATCTAGTAAATTCCACCTTTAGTCCCCCCCCCCCAATAAAAGGAGAAATCAAATTCCCTTAAGGTGTCTGCTCTCGCCCCAAGTTGGCTAGGCACCAGACTTTCCCCACGTATGGTGAGAGAGCTTTTCTGGCCACTAATAGACCAGAGAACTGATGGTGTTTGGCTGGGGTTGGTGGTTATTGAAACTAAGGAACTTGAGCCCTAGGAATCAGCTCCTTAGTCTTTCTGAGATTTAGGTTGATGATTGCTTGAGTCATGAAGACACAGGAAGCCTAGCAGTTTTAGGTGGTACCAGTTACATCTAATGGCAGGTTAATAGCCTGGGTTTTGGTTCATTACTGAATTGCTAGATTTTTGGGTTACTTTTTATGGTAAGCACCTAGGGACTGTAAACATACAAGCAATAGGATGCCCCCTTAGAACCAAGGAATACTTGGGGCCTTTGGCTTTTCCTTTGACATCTTACCTCCAAGTTATTCCACCACGGAGGAGTCTTAGAGATTAAGAGACTAGCCACTATTGATAACAAGAGCAGCAGCTGTAATTTGTTACTGAATGACTGGCAGTGATTTATTTATTTATTTATTTATCCAGAACCAAGAGTTTTGTGAGTCACATGCTATCTCCTGATGATGACTAAACGAAGGATTGGTTACCTTTGAGGGTCTCTGCTCCTTTGAGATGGGTTTACTAAGGTAGAACTGAGGTTTCAGTCCTTTTGCCTCAGCCTTTGTGCGCTAGAGATAGCATACATATACCATCACATGTTGTGTTTGGCTATCCTGGTCAGAAATAGGAAATGTAGCTTCGTAAGACTGCCAGACATAAAAAGCTGGTCAAGGAGTCCAACCTGTCCCACATTCAAAGATAAAGCTAATGAAGCCTCAGGGGAAAGATTTGAATGTAACTAAGGTCTAGAGTTCATATATATTTGAGTATTTTGTATAGTTACTTGTTACCTCTACCCAAACTAACTTTATTTTTGTCGAGAGCTAGGAGTCATTCAGGTTGTGTATGCTTGGCAAGACGTCTACCCCTGCTCTCAATCCTCTAGCCTTTAGAGGTTTTTTGTTTGTTTTTGTTGAGACATTCTTGCTTCATAGCTCATGCTGGCCTTTTATATAACCCTTATGCCTCAGTCTCCAGAATGCTGGGATTACAGGCCTATGCTACCTTGCTTATCCAAAGTTAACTTTAGAAGGAAGAAGGGCTTTTCAGGAAAGAAGGAATACAGGGAGCATAAAAGGAAGACGAGAAGGTAACGGGACAGTGTGATCAAAATATATTGTATATGTGCATGATAGTGTCAAGGGATTAGATTTTTTATAAAGCAAAAATGGACTGGAGAGATGGCTCAGTGGTTAAGATCACTGATTGTGTCAGGCAGTGCCAGGACACCTTTAATCGTACCAGAGAACTCTTGAGTTCAAGGCCAGCCTAGTTGTAGACTAGTTATAGGACAGCCAGTGCCACACATAGTAACACTGTCTCAGAGAGAGACAAAGAGAGAAAGAACAGCCCTGACTGCTTTTGCAAAGGAGCCTGATTTAATTCCCAGCACCCACTTGGCAGCTCACAACTGTCAGTAACTCTGTGAGACATACATGCAGAAAAAAAACACCAATGCACATAAAATTTAAAAAAAATATTTTTTCTTTTTTTTCTTTTTTTAGTTTTTCGAGACAGGGTTTCTCTGTGGCTTTGGAACCTGTCCTGGGACTAGCTCTTGTAGACCAGGCTGGTCTCAAACTCATAGAGATCCGCCTGCCTCTGCCTCCCGAGTGCTGGGATTAAAGGTGTGCACCACCACCCAGGGAAAAATATTTTTTCTAAAGCAAAAATTGGTATATGGCAAGAGTAAAATGCTGGTTTTAGTTATAAACATAAATGTATTATTCATTTATTTGTTGTGCCAGGGAGTAAGCTAATGTTTAGACTACCCTGGAGAGATAAAGTAGAGGGAGGGAAAAATGAGAAGTCTGTTCTGACTACATGGATGGCAAGGAGGAAAAGCAGAAAGAAAATAAAGCTGGATTTCATACATTGACTGTTCCATCTTCATTTATTTATTAATTAATTTATTTTTGGCTTTTGGTTTTTCAATCCAAGGTTTCTCTGTGGTTTTGGAGCCTGTCCTGGAACTAGCTCTTGTAGACTAAGCTGGCCTCAAACTCACAGAGATCCACCTGCCTCTGCCTCCCAAGTACTGGGGGATTAAAGGCGTGCGCCACTGCCACCTGGCTGACTGTTCCATCTTAATTTGTTTCTTTACCTATTTCCAGATGATGCTGTCAAAAATATGTTCCCTGTGAAGAGAAAAATTGAGCCCTTTTGGACCAGTGAGATTATTAAGAATATAGTTTTAAAATCATGGTAAAATCTTGGTAAGTGATTCATTGTCTCTACTGGGCTTGCCAAGTTAATGAAAAGGAACAGGGAAGGTGGTCTTACAAGGCATCAGACAATTACTTCACATTTACCCATTATGTGAAAATACATTAAAATATTCAAGCTATACTAAAGAATTACGAACCTAGCCTCCTTTTGTCATTTTTTTTTATAGGTGGTGAGATTGGAAATATCCCAAGATTAGTTGTGGGAGGAGATTTGAATTTAAATCTATCTACATAAAAAGAAATTTTGTTGCCCACTAAAAGAATTTTTTTATCAATTTAAAGATGACTAATTACCTTGGGTTTGGGTCTGGCGGTGCTCAGGAATTCAGTATATAGCCCAGCCTGGTCTAAGATATGGTAATCCTTTTGCCTCAGCTTCCGTATAACTGGTAAAAGCATTAGCCACAAGGGTATTACAGTGTCAGATCATACTTATCTGATGATGGCAATTAACATGATAGAAAATATGATTACAGGCTGGGCAGTGGTGGCGCACGCTTATAATTCCAGTTCTTACTTGGGAGGCAGAGGCAGGCCGATCTCTGAGTTCGAGTTCAGCCTGGTATACAGAGCTAGTTCCAGTACAGCTAGGGCTGTTACATAGAAAAACCCTCTCTCTAAAATCAAAAAAGAGAGAGAGGGAGAGTGTGTGTATGTGTGTGTGTGAGTATGTGTGTGTGTGTATTTGTGTACATGTATATATGATTACATATCAAATCACCTGCGATGCCTGTTTAACGTGCAGATTGCTGGGGAGCTAAATTTTGTCATTGGTCAAGATAAACTTCTAAGGTCTGCCCTTCAGGCTGTCCTGTTCAAGATTCACCAGCCCACCAGGATGAATCACTGTTTCTAGGGATGCCTTGGGAGGCAGCTGGAAAGCCTTGGTAAGTTGTTAATGCTTTTGGTGAGCTTTCTCATTTGGTAACAAAAAGAAAGTGTTCACCATGTGGCATTTCTGGCTTCTTCAATGGGTAGTAAGTACTTAACTAAGTACCCGAGAGATTATTCTAGGTGGTAATAAGGTCCTGCTCTTAAAAGACTTTTCCTTTTTGAGAGGTATGTTAAATGGCTAAATAATAAAAGTATAATGTATCATAAATGTTATTTGATTTTCTGCTTCATTTTTATTTTATTTCTTTGTTTATGTTGGTTTGTCAAACAAGGTTTCTTCTCCGGAACTCATTATTTAGACTAGGGTGGCCCCAAAGTCACAGAGATCTGACGGCTGGGATTAAAAGCATGCACCACCACCGCCCAGCAGAATTTTTCTTTTTATGATATGAAAAGTTACATTGAATGAAGTCAGCCAAGTAGAGGGCTGTAATCCCAGTAGGATTCAGGTAGGAAGATTACTAGTTTAAGGCCATCATAGGCTACAATAACAACAAGAGAAGATGATTGAGTTAAACCAGGCAGTATCTTGTGTTTTCCTCTCTTCTCCCCACTCTTTTTTCTGTTTGTTTTTAAAGATTTCACAGGGGGCTGGAGAGATGGCTCAGAGGTTAAGAGCTTTGCCTGCTCTTCCAAAGGTCCTGAGTTCAATTCCCAGCAACCACATGGTGGCTCACAACCATCTGTAATAGGGTCTGGTGACCTCTTCTGGCCTTCAGGGATACACAGAGACAGAACATTGTATACATAATAAATAAATATATTTAAAAAAAAAAAAGATTTGACAGGGTCCCTGTAGCCCAGATTAACCTGGAGCTTTGGTCCAGCATAATCTGCAAGTTGGCAATCCCTGACAACCGCTACCTGAGTGCTGGGATTACAGGTCTCCGCCACTGTTTACACCTGCCATTGCCTCTTTACGAATAATGGCTGATCCAGCTGATCGTTGGAGAGCGCAGACAGTGGCAGAGAGTCTTTTGTTGCTCTTCTTTCGGCTAGATTATAACTCTCTCCCTCCCTCCCTCCCTCCCTCCTTCTCTATCATGCTGAAACTCAAACCCAGGATCTTAGACATACTAACAGTTGTTCCACCAGTGAACTATATCTCTGGCTCTGAGGAAGATAACTTTTAAAAAATGTTGTGCAGTTTGCTGGATCGTATGAGTGAGTGACCTCAGAAGAGAAGAGAAGGGGACTCCCCTAGTAATAACAGCACACAGTACATAAGCTAAGTAGGGAAATAAAGGCTGGCTTTGTTCTCACTTCTGGCTAGGGAGAATAGTTAAAATGTCATTTTTCTTTTGAGGCGGAGATTGAAACAGGGTTTCTCTGTAACTGGGTCTCCTGGAAGTTGTTCTGTAGACGAGGCTGGCCTCGATTACACAGAAAGATCCGCCTGTCTTTGCCTCCCCCCCCCCCCCCCGTGCTTCGATGAAAGGGGCACCACCACCTGACAGAAATGCCATTTCTAAGCATAGCTTATCTGACACAACTATGTAGCCTTCTGAATGGTTTGAGTTGACTATATGCTTCCCAGTATCCTCAGTGCTGTTGAGGGCCAGAAGAGCAGAAATGACTACTAAGGCAAGTGAGCTAGGTGACAGAAGCTTTTGGATTGTTTTTGTGTCAGGGATGTAGCTAACGCTCATGTGTGCTCTGCCACTGAGTTGTACTGACAGCCCCCCAAGCTCCTGCTTGACAGGTTTTGTTGCAACATAGTCCTCTACACTCACTACTCTCTGTGGACTTTAGTGCTACAGCGTGATTGAGTGGTATATAGACTGTAAGGTCTGTAGAGCCTGAAATATTAGCATTAGGCCTCTTCAGGAGGTCTGGCCCTTCCCACTGTAAGTTAAGTCCTCTTTTCTTTTTATTTCTAGGATACTTGCTTTTATAGCTGATCCTACAAATTGATATAGGTTTGCATCTGAATTTCTGCCCAGGAAAATGAAGAACAAGAGCGTGCATGGACTCAACAGGGTATGTTGGTGAGGTTCTGTAGACTCAGCATCCAGGGTATAGCTTCAGGATGATCAGGCTATCAAAGAAACAGGCTGAGGGAACAGGGCCAGTGGGCCATGGACTGAAACATTTGAAGCTGTGACTCAATAAGCTTTTCCTCCTCTTAAGTTGTTTTGTCTCTGGTATTTTGTCATAGAGACAGTGAGGTTAATAAACAAAGGCAGATTTCTAAAAATTAGTACTTAAAAGCACAATTCACATTGCATTGCCCTTCCACCTCCCACAATGCTGTTAATTTAACCGCAACATGACCTTATACCTACAACCAATTTTCCCCCTGAGCCACACATACAACCCTCTAATTTTCTTTAATTTTTTTTTAAATATTTATTTATTATGTATACAATATTCTGTCTGTGTGTATGTCTGCAGGCCAGAAGAGGGCACCAGACCTCTTTACAGATGGTTGTGAGCCACCATGTGGTTGCCGGGAATTGAACTCAGGACCTTTGGAAGAGCAGGCAATGCTCTTAACCACTGAGCCATCTCTCCAGCCCCCTCTTTAATTTTTTTTATTGTATATGTGTGTATGGGTATTTTGTGTACCACATACATGTAGACTCCAGGAAATTGGCCGGAGTCTGGCGTTAAGACAGTTCTAAGAAGCCGGGCGGTGGTGGCGCACGCCTTTAATCCCAGCACTCGGGAGGCAGAGGCAGGCGGATCTCTGAATTCGAGACCAGCCTGGTCTACAGAGCTAGTTCCAGGACAGGCTCCAAAGCCACAGCGAAACCCTGTCTCGAAAAACCAAAAAAAAAAAAAAAAAAAAAAAAAAAAAGACAGTTCTAAGAAACCACAGGGTGTTGGGAACCAAAACTTCAGGAAGAACAGCTTAACAAATGAGCCATTTTTAGCACCCCCAACCCCTGCCCCATTTTTTTTGTTGTTTTTTTTGTTTTTTGGGTTTTTTGTTGTTGTTTTCAACACAGGGTTTCTCTGTAGCTTTGGAGCCTGTCCCGGAACTAGCTCTTGTAGACCAGGCTGGCCTTGAACTCAGAGATCCATCTGCCTCCTGAGTGCTGGGATTAAAGGCGTGAGCCAGCACTGGCCTGCTCCCCATTTTCTATTTAAGGTTTTTTGGTTTGTTTATCTGGTTGCTTGTATGTGTTTGTTTGCATACATGCGCACATGTGTATGTGTGAGTGTTACTACACATTGACCCTGAGGCCTTATGCATGGTAAGCAAGTACTGTACCAGTAATCCATTTATTTATCTATTTTTATTTTGAGAGAGGGATGTCACATAATTGTCCAGGCTGGTATTAAATTTACTCTGTAGCCCCTGCAAACTTAAATGTGTGGTTTCCTGCCCCAGTCTTCCAAGTAGTTACAGGCGATGGACCTTTGCCACCAGGCTTGACAAGTTAACATTTTTAATTTCCTTGTTGTTGATAATGCTGTGGTTGGGACCTAGGACCTTACACATTGCTATGTAAGCACAGGACACCAGCCCTGTTTTTACATTTTAAAGTATTAGAATCTGATGGCTGGGAAAATGGCTCAGTGGATAAGAACAGTTGCTATACTCCTCAAAACCTGCATAAAAAGCTGGGTGTGGGACCTATAGAGATGACTCAGCATGTTAAAAAAGGCTTGCTGCTCTTTCAAAGGATGCTAGTTCAGTCCTGGTATCCATGTTAGGCATCCTATAACTCCAGCTCCAGGGGATCTATTACCTTTTTCTCACTCATGAATGCACACACCCAAGTGTTCATGCAAACACATGAACAGACTCTTCTTTTAAAAGCCTGAAATGACCATGATCACATGTAACTCAAGTGTTGTGAGTGACAGAAACATGAGGACCAGTGGGGCTTGATGCCTCCAAGTCTGTTCCAGGTTCAATAAAAGATCCTGTGCCAAAAGGATAAAGTAGACAAAGGTGTACACACATATAGCTTGGCCCTAATGTCTTCCTTGGGTGAGGAGATAAGAAGGTAAGGCATCAACAATCATAGATGCTGAGAGTGGTGAACGGGAGAGGGCAGACTCATTCAGTTAACAACGGAAAAAACTTACAACCACACCCAACACCCAGGTCTTTAAATCCTTTGACAGTTGACATAGCATCATCACCCCTCCTTGGCTAGGCATCATCAGAACCTCTGATAGTGCCTGTTTCTAGCTCTTCAGGAAACATGACGTGTTCCATCATTGGCAAGGCATGATCAGGACCTGTGACAGTGCCAGGCAGATGCCAGGTGGTTCTGTTTGGCCTCTTAGGCCTTAACTTCCTACACACACACAAATATATGCATTATAATTTGGCCTTTAGGTGCCTTTGTCCTCCACTGGCCATTAGTGAGGAGTGAAGTGATCATGTTCTTCAGACTAACATCTTTCAGAGCATTTTCTCTTCCGTTCTACCTTCTGTCAAGCACAACTATGTGGACACTTTCCAACACTTTTCTTCCTCTCCTTTTCTTTTTTTTTTTTTTTTTTTTTTTTTTTTTTTTTGGTTTTTCGAGGCAGGGTTTCTCTGTGGTTTTGGAGCCTGTCCTGGAACTAGCTCTTGTAGACCAGGCTGGTCTCGAACTCACACAGATCCACCTGCCTCTGCCTCCCGAGTGCTGGGATTAAAGGCGTGCGCCACCACCGCCCGGCCCTCTCCTTTTCTTTATTCATCTTTATGGTGTGAACATTTTCCCACATGTAGATGTATGTACTGTCCATGAAGGTTAGATTCATCCCCTGGAACTGGAATGCAGGCAATTCTAAGCTGCGGTGTTGGTGCTGGGACTTGAACCTGCATCCTCCATAAGAGCAGTCAGTGCCATTAACTACTGAACCAACTCTAGAGACCCCGGTCGTTATCTTTTCAAGAGAGGTGATGACTTTATGTAGATAGGTATTTATGTTCAGTTGCATCGATTTCAGGATCTTACATAAATGACAATATTTTTGTAGCAAGATCTTAAATACAATTTTCCTCCATAAGGTAGGTCAGTGTTGATGCTTTTCACCCACCAAACAACCTGACAACCTGAGTCCAGTCCCCTGAAACCTATACAACTGGAGGAGAGAATCAGTGCCCACAATTTTTTTTTTACGTTTCACCCACACTGTGGCACATGTCATAAACACAGGCACACAAATAAGTAACATCATTTTCAAATGTTAAAAAAAAATGAATCATGAAAAGACCTCGTAAAAGCAGAATACCTCATTGGTTTAAGACAGCCAAATTCATGTCCCTGAAAGAATTTCCAAGACAGCATCCCATTTTTTTGTGTGTGTGTGTGTATGTGGTGGGAGATTGGTTTAGTTTGGCAATACAGGGTTTATCTGTGGAGCCATGGCTATCCTCACTCGTTTTGTAGACAAAGCTGGCCTCAAATTCACTGAGATCCGCCTATATCCGCCTTCCAAGGGCTGGTATCACAGGTGCGTGCGACCACCACCTGGCTATATTTTTTGTTCTTAAAAAAAGTTATCTATCTCTGTAAAGCTTTCATTTGTGTGTTTCTTTTTGTTAAGAAACAGGGTTTCACTATTTACCAGCCTGGCCTTAAACTCATCTCTTATGCTGTTTCAGCCACCAGACAGATTTTTTTTAAAATCCTTTTACCCTGTATCTAGAACTAAGTTTTTCTCACTGTTAGATTTTGTGTGTGTGTGTGTGTGTTTCTGTAGGTACAAATGCAGTTCAGAGGGCTGGAGAGATGGCTCAGAGGTTAAGAGCATTGCCTGCTCTTCCAAAGATCCTGAGTTCAATTCCCAGCAACTACATGGTGGCTCACAACCATCTGTAATGAGGTCTGGTGCCCTCTTCTGGCCTGCAGACATACACACAGACAGAATATTGTATACATAATAAATGAATAAATATTAAAAAAAAAAACAAATGCAGTTCAGAGGTAAATCTAGAGTGGCATCTTTGCCTTCTACCTGGTTTGAAACAGGATCTCTTTGTTATTTACCTCCATACACCAGGAACACCTTCAGCTTCCATTCTCATAGGAGCACTGGGATTACAGATGCTCACGGTACAGACCCAGCTTTAACTTTGGTCCTGGGGATTCAGACTTGGGTCCTCAGGCTTGGCGTGCAAGTGCTTTTACCCCCATCTCCCTAGCCCCACTTTGAATTTTTTTTTATTATAATATGTGACTAATTCTTATTAATTTCATTTTTTTTAAAGGAAACTATATTTTCATTTTACATACCAATCCCAGTTCCTACTCCCTCTTCCCTCCCATTTCCTCCTTATACCCACTCTACCCCACCCCCATCCACTCCTCAGAGGGTGCGCATTGCTTTGTGGAAGGTCCAAGGCTATATCTAGGCTGAACAAGGTATCCATCCAAGGAGAATAGGTTTCCAAAAACTACCTACAAGCAGTAGGGAAAAATCCTGGTGCCACTGCCAGTGGCCCCCTCAGTATGCCACAGCCATACAACTGTCACATTCAAGGGACTAGTTAGGACCTATGCTGCTTCCCTATTTTGAATTTTTGATGCTGTTTTTTATTTGTGTGTGTGTGTGTGTGTGTGTGTGTGTAGAAAAGCATATAGCCTTGACTTTCAGATAAAGTGCTCTGTAACCAAGCTGTCCTTGAACTCACAGAGATCCATCTGCCTCTGTCTCCCAAATGATTGTATTAAAGATGATCTCAACTACCACCTGTCTTAAGGCAGTTATATTCTGGAAACTAAGTGTGGATTTAAACTGATTGTAATCCTTGTGTCTCCGATTTCTAAGTACTGGTATCATCAGTTTGGGCCACCATGCTAATGTCAAACAGCTTTCTTGATTGTGCTCCCCTATAACACCAGGAATAACACTCATCAGTTAATTAGCTTTTCCAATTGAAAGAGTACAGTAAGGCAGGGCCTTGCAGTCAGGGATAGTCTAGTACAACTAGAACTGTAGACTGCCTCTACATTAATATAGTAAAACAAGTCTTTGCGTTCTTTGAGATCCTCCCCTCTTTGGTTTTCTTGAGACATAGTCTAGCTATGTAATGGAGCCAAATTGACGTTGAAAACCTCTTTTTTATTTTTTATCATTTTATTTATTTATTTTAGGTTCTCAAGACAGGGTTTCTCTGTGTAACAGCCCTGGAGGTCCTGGAATGAACTCTGTAGACCAGGCTGGCCTCAAACTCAGAGATCTGCCTGCCTCTGCCTCCCAAGTGCTGGGATTAAAGACATAGGTCATTATGTCTGGTTCTATTTTTTTTTTAATTTAATTTAAAAAAATTTCAAGACTGTCTCACTGTGTGTCTTAGGCTGGCCTTGATACATCATCCTCAGGCAGGCCTTTACCTCCCCAGTGTGAGAATTATAGGCATGGTCCATAGTAAACAGCTTTTTTGTTATTTTTTAAGATTTTTTTCAATGTGAATGAGTTTTGCACACATGTGTACCATGTGCGTGTTTGGTGGTCACGAAGGGTAGAGGAGTATATCTGATTCTTGGGAATTGCAGTTGCAAATGGCTGGGGATGCTGTGAATTAAACCCTGATCATTTGGAAGAGTGCTCAGAGCCCTTAACGACTGAGCCATCTCCAAGCTTTCATGTTGCTTTTGTTTTTTCTTTGTTTGGTGTTTGTTTGGTTGGTTGGTTTTGTTTTGTTTTCTTTTGTTTTTTGTGGCAGAATCTTGTTATGTGATCAAGGATGTTTGTAAATTGCAAATATTTCCTGTGTCTCCTCAATACTATGAGTAAGGGATAGGTGTGAAACATCACACCCTTATTTTCTGCTTTCTTTTCCTTTATATATAATATTTTATCATTTCCTCCTTTCTTTTCTCCCCTTTGTTGGGTCCGGCAGGGGAAGGTCACACAAAGATGTTGACAAACCACCAAAGTTTAATAAACCAGAAGCAAACTTTATTCCAGAAACCAAAATCCAGGAAAAAAATAAAAATAAAAAATCTTCATGGTGCACAAAAAGCTTATCAGCTAGCTGAGACCACAGCCAGAGATTTTTTTCTTTTATTAGGCTGCGGCAAAAGTCCGGTTTCTGAACCCACCTTTTTATGGTAGGGGCACTAAGCATTAGGTCTGAACAAAGGAATTCTTTATAATCTCAAGGTAAAACTTAGATACATATTGCCTTATTTTAGAATAAATAAGAAGTTGGTTCTTTCCTTTCCCCGAATGAGTCCCAAGGATGGGACTCAGATGGTCAGACTTGAAAGCACTGAGGCATCTTGCCAGCCCATGGCTTTGTTGTTTGACTTACAGTTTCAGAAAATACAGTCCATCATAGTGTGGATGGGTGATGCTCCCACCATCGCTGTGGCAAATTTTGGCTATTCTAGCATTCTGAGGGAGAATGGGGCACTAGTAAGGCTGGGTGGCTATTTTCCTCAAAGCTCTTTTTGCATTAACCCACTTCTGCCAACTATGCTGCCCTTATCAAAGATTCAATGAATACCAAGGCACCCGTGACTGGGGCCAAAGTGTTCAAACACATGAGCCCATGTACGACATTTTATATTCTATGTATATTTTTTTCCTTTGGTTATAACACAGTCCTAATAGCCAAGTTAAAAACTATGGTTTTCATGATTTACCATGTCAGTTCTTCTATTTGACTTTCAGGATTCTGAGTAACTAATGCTGCCATGAATATCTCCAAAGGACAGATGAACAAAGAAAGGAACAGGTATCTAACTCTATTAGGTAAGCAATTGTTGAAGGCTTATTTCTGGAAGGCCAGCACTTTGGAGACTGAGCTAGGGCTCAGTCAGGGCTGTATAATAAGACTTATCTCAACAGCAACAACAACAAAAGAAAACAACTCTTTTCTCTTTGGCCATTTTCTGTTATTTGTTGCATTCAATAGCTTTTTTAAGACTGAGCTAGCCTTACATTTGTGAAAAAAAAAACTCTATACTCCCAAGGACTTTGAATTCAGTTTGTTAAATTTGCTATTTATAATTTTATTCTTTGTTTAATTCATTAGTGTTTTCTTTCTGAGTTCAAATTTTGAGTCATTTGTTGATGGACTCACTAATGATAGGTTTTTTGCCTGCTTTTTCCAACTAAGGAGATGTCAAACATATGCCATGCAATTAAATATGCTTTAGTGGCACCATTTTCAAACTGGCACGCAGTATCCCAAGGTTTGAATAGAGGCCATTGATTTACAGTTGCTATTTAGATTCATCCCAGTTACTGTTCTCCCTTCTACCTTTTTCTGCTGTGCTGGAGGCTAGAACCCAGGAGTGTTACAGGCTAGGCAAGCCCACTTCCAGGGAGCTACCCTCCAGCCCAAACTGCTCTTTTAATTATATCTACATAGAGAAAGTTAAAGTTAGCATGCTTGTAGTTGTAGGTCAGTTAACTATCATGCTGATTTCCTAAGATTGGATGAAGTGGACAGTTCTTGTAGTGACTATAAGACTAGCCATTTTCACACGTCACACATTTATACTAGTAAACTATAGTAAGTATTTTTTTAAATATTTATTTATTTATTTATTATGTATACAATATTCTTTCTGTGTGTATGCCTGAAGGCCAGAAGAGGGCACCAGACCTCATTACAGATGGTTGTGAGCCATCTGTGGCTGCTGGGAATTGAACTCAGGACCTTTGGAAGAGCAGGCAGTGCTCTTAACCGCTGAGCCATCTCTCCAGCCCCAGTAAGTATTTTTATTTTTTAACAATTCACCAATTGCAAGATGAATATAGTGGCTCATGCCTGTAATTTCAGCAGTTGGAAGGCTGAGGCTGGAACATCACTGCAAGATGGCTGTCAGCATGTACTACCTGTTATGTAATTCTATTCTCAAATATCACAGAAAAGGAAAGAAAAACAATTTTAATATTTGAAAGCAAAACATTCTCCTTTAATATTTTATTTTGTGCATTTTTGATTCCTAATTATATAAAACAGGCTATTTCTTGGCTTTTTGAGTTTTATTTCCTGCTTTTGTTGTTGCAGTTTTTTGAGACAGTTTCTTCTTGGCTGTCCTAGAAATAGCTCTATAGATCAGTCTTCCTTCTGCCTCCCAAGTGTTGGAAATTAAGTCATGTGACATCATGCCCAGCTTCCGTTTTATTTTTTTTTAACTCTTTACTGTTTGTATTTGTGAGTGGGTTAGTGAGTCCAGGTGCTCACTTGTATGCAGTGTGTGGAGAAAGGACAGCTTTCAAGCCTTTCTTCTGTCTCACTGAGCCAGTTTCTCTTGTTTCTGCCGTGTGCTTGTCACCGTACTGCTGTGCACTCCTTGCTAATTTGCCTCTGCTCCGGGGAATTTCATTGTACTTTCCATCTCACTGTAGGACTGCTGGCTTACAGATGGGTCCCGCCAAATCCGTCTTTTTCCACTGAGCCATCTCCCTCACCCTCCTTCACATTTGCAGTGCTGGGAATAGAGCCGGCAATCTCAAATACGTTAGACAATTGGAGTTTTTTTGTTGGTGCGCTGGTTGCTTTGATTTCACAAGACAGGGTTTCTCTGTACTTCATGCTGTCCTGGAACTTGCATTATAGAGCAGTTTGGCTTCAAAGCCCAATCTTTTTCCTCCTGAGTGCTAGGGTGAAGGCGTGAGCCACCACCTACCTATCTGACTAGGTGTGAGTTTCTTATACTTAGTTGCAACTTTGATGTCTGTTTGTTTTGTGAATTTGATTTTTATTGTGGTTCAAGACATGGGATGGAACATATTAGCTTCAGAGACAATGGTTTGATTTAGTTGGTATTCTATATAGCCTAGGGAGTCTTGTATTCAGTCTGGCCACAAACTCAAGGCAATTCTCTTAACTTAGTTTCCTAAAGGCTGGAATTAAGGCTTGAGCAACCAGGCTTGATCACATATTGAAATTTATTATATCATATTTCAAATATTTTGTCTGGCCTAACCTAAAAATACATATGTAGGAAGTTCGAATATCATTTTCTTTCTTTCTTTCTTTCTTTCTTTCTTTCTTTCTTTCTTTCTTTCTTTCTTTCTTTCTTTCTTTCTTTCTTTCTTTCTTTCTTTCTTTCTTTCTTTCTTTCTTTCTTTCTTTCTTTCTTTCGAGACAGTTTCTCTTTAGCTTTGGGGCCTGTCCTGGAACTCGCTCTGTAGACCAGGCTGAACTCACAGAGATATGCCTGCCGTTGCCTCCCAAGTGCTGGGATTAAAGGCATGTGACACCACTGCCCAACTTCAAGTTTCCTTTTCTTTGACCTATTATATGTGTATTCAGTATTTTTGTTTGCTTTTTCTTTTTTTTTTAAATTAATTTATTTATTTATTATGTATACACTATTCTGTCTGTGTGTATGCCTGCAGGCCAGAAGAGGGCACCAGACCTCATTACAGATGGTTGTGAGCCACCATGTGGTTGCTGGGAATTGAACTCAGGACCTTTGGAAGAGCAGGCAATGCTCTTATCCTCTGAGCCATCTCTCCAGCCCCTTGCTTTTTCCTTTTTTTTGAGTCCAGCCCAACCTCAAATTCACATCCTCTTGCCTTAGCCTTCCAGGTACTAGAATTACAGGCATGTGACACGAATAATACACCTAGTTTCCACTTACTTTTCATAAAATGAGCATAAGGATAATTTCCTATCGTTTATAATCCATTCATTTTTACAATTTTTTAAAGATTTATTTTCTAATGTATATTGGGGTTTTACCTTCATGTTTGTCTGTATGTGAGAGTCAGATCCCTTGGAGTTGGAGTTACAAACAGTTGTGAACTGCCGTGTGGTTGCTAGGACTTGAACCCAGATATTTTAGGGGAAAAAGCCAGTGCTCTTATCTGTGGAGCCATCTCTTCAGCCCCTATTTTTTTACCATTTTTATGTTGTTGTGAAATATGTTTGTTTTGTTTTTTCAAGACAGTGTTTCTCTGTAGCTTTGGATCCTATCCTGGAATTCATTCTGTTGACCAGGCAGGCATCAAACTCACAGAGATCCGCCTGCCTTTATCTCCTGACTGCTGGGATTAAATGTGTATGCCACCCCTCCTGGATTGAAATAGGTTCTTTTAGAATGATATTTAAGGATTTTGTGTAATATTTTGAACCCTTCTACCCCAATAAACAGGATCTTACAAAGCTCATGCTGGCCTTAAAGTCAATGTGTAACTTAGGATGAGCATGATTTTCGCGTTCCTACTTCTGCATTCTATGATTAGAGGCCCAGGGCACTATTTTTTTTTTCAACAGTTCTGGTGATCTAACACAGGGCTTCATTTGTCCAGATCTTCTCTGGCACTGAAAGGTGAAGTACTAAGCTTGTACTTGCTTGTGAAGCAGTAGTCTGCCGTTGAGCTTTATTATATTTAACATCTCTTTTAACATTGCTGAGGCCATTATTAAACTTACTCTACTATAGCCCAGACAATTTTTTTTAACTTATCATCCTTCTAATTTAGCCTCAACGCCATTCTCCCTACCTGGAATTATGCATTGGTGCCATGATTTGTGCCTTATTTCTGGCATACATCATATAATCTTATTTATTTTACTATTATTTGTTTTGAGGGGGATTGTTTGTCTTTGTTTCTTTGTTGTTTTGGTTTTCCAAGACAGATTTCTCTGTGCTTTTGGCTGTCAAGAAACTAACCCATAGGGCTGGAAAGATGGCTCAGTGGTTAAGAGCATTGCCTGCTCTTCTAAAGGTCCTGAGTTCAATTCCCGGCAATCACATGGTGGCTCACAACCATCTGTAATGAGGTCTGGTGCCCTCTTCTGGCCTGCAGACATACACACAGACAGAATATTGTATACATAATAAATAAATAAATATTAAAAAAAAAAAGAAACTAACCCGTAGAGCAGTCTGATTTATACTCACAGTCTTCCTGTCTCTGTATCCCACGTGCTGGGTTAAAGATATATGCCACCACTGTTCAGTGGATTTTCTTTTTTAAAAAAGTTATTTTATACATATATGTGTGTGCACATCTCATGTGTGCCTTGGTCCTTGTGGAGGACAGAAGATGTTGGATTCCTTGGAACTGGAGCTGAAGATGGCTGTGAGCCTCCAGGTGGGTGCCGGGCGAGTTGACAGTGCTCAGCTAGCTCTCAACCCACCTATAATTAGTATTCGCACTATCTTGCACATTCAGGGCTGGGAGGTACACTATGGATAGCTGTAAGGATTTCAGTAGTACTAATTTTCAAAATCCTTTTCCAGTATTCTGCTTCTAACATAATATACTATTCTCTCAGCTCCTCTGTGAGTGTCCACTCAGCTTTGCCACCACTGGTTTATACTCTCATGCCAATTTGGAATATTTTCTTTTCTTTTTTTTTTTTTTTGGTTTTTCGAGACAGGGTTTCTCTGTGGTTTTGGAGCCTGTCCTGTAACTATTTCTTTTTTTTTTTTTTTTTTTGGTTTTTCGAGACAGGGTTTGCAGTTTCATTTTTATGGGCTGTATGTGTTTTGCTGTTGTTGAATGAAAACAAATATAGGCAGTATATAAAAACAAGTGCATTAGTGTTCCAACAAAACCATTTCATAAAATGTGAGTGAGCTGTGTTTGTGTGGAGGCTGCAGTTTGCCCATACCTGCTTTATGACGTTTTACTTCTAATGTTTATGACTCTAATCCTCCGGTATATCCTTTCAAGATTCTTTTGTTTTCTGTTACTGTCTTACATGCATGTATGTAAGTTTGTCACGTGTGTAGTGCCCACAGAAGTCAGAAAAGGGGTTACAGATCCCTAGAACTGAAGGTACAGAACCTGGAACATTTGTAAGAACAGAATATGCTCTTCGTGCTGAGACATCTTTCTAGTCCCTCCTTTGTAAAATCTTGGAAGCTTTTTTGTTTTGTTTTAGTTGTTTTCTTTTCTGGGAGTCTGGCTCTTTAGCCCAGTCCTGTAAATCTCCCTGTGTAATTCTGATTGACTCCTAACCTGCAGCGATTGTCAATAATCAACCAGAGTTAGAGGTGTCACCGTGCTCAACTGTGATTTTTAAGCATCCAGTTTGTTGCTGCTGATGACATTTGCATACCACACTTTTTTTCATTTCAAAGAACACAGAGATTAGCTAAACACGTACTTCTGTCATTAGTATTGTGTGTTATGCTGTAAAGTTGATTTATTTTATTAAAATGCCAAGCAGCTGCATTCCTTTTGCTGTAATTTGCTTACTCTTACAGTGGTTAAACACTGAATGACAAAAATTTGGAGAAGGACAGCATGTCATTGTGCTAGGCCAAGGCAGGGACCTTAAGGTAGGAACTGAGGAAACCATGGAGGAATGCTTGCTGCCTTGTTTCTCTGCATTGCTCAGCTATCTCTCGCATACAGCCCAGGCTCACCTGCCTAGCAGTAGTATGACTAATGGGCTGGGCCCTGCAACCCACAGCAATCAAGAAAATTCCCCCAGATATGGCCCTAGGCCAATCTAATGAAGACAGTTCCTCAATTCAGGTTCCAGCTTCCCAGGTGTGTTTTAAAAATTAAAAGTAGCTATCACCATCTGGAAGTGTATTCCTCTCAATCCATATTTCATTGTATGAACATTTAAGTTTCTAAAACTTGTCTCTAGTGGAGTATCATGACTGTTGCAGCTTATCTCTGGTTCTTTGTTCATGTTACCTTGCTTTTGTTGAGGACAGGAATCCTTAGACTGTCTACTTAATATCCTCTCTCCTTAAGACTTCCATCAGTCTTAACTTGAGGTTTTTGTATCTCTGGGCATGGCCTTTCTACCTGCATCTTTCTTTGTATGTATGGAGTATTTATCAGGTCTAGGCCATTTTCTACTATTGTTAGTTATATGTGGATGTCTTTTCACCCTATGTGTAAATCAAAATTTCATCACCCTAAATCAATCCAGCTAATGAAAGTATAACCCGTATTATTTAATTGCTTTGAAACTTGAAAGGCAAGCTAGCACCGAAGTGATATCATATCTGACTGTCTTTGGAGCTTGACAGCCTCTCTGGTAAACTCTGTCAATCTCACAGGTAGCTCTACAACCCCGTTCTCCTAGCATTTTCTTGCTTTTTCCCTTCTGCTAACTAACTTCCTCATCCTATTTGCCCTACTGTAGATGAATAGCTTCTGTTTATTTATAGCTTTTGAGTCATTCTTTTGCAAATTGGTTCATAACTGTATCTTAAATCTTTCCTGATTCTTCCATCGATGATAGTATTTTCTTCCATAAATTTGTTTACTCCTTTATCTGACTTAGTTTCTTTGTTTTATCTATTATATTTTTGAGACACAAGCTGACATCAAAGTTGCCATGATAGCTGAGTCTAGACTGTCATCCTGATTCTCATGTCTCTGCTTCCTGAAGAGGAGATACCTAACTTACGTGTATTTATTCAGTAGTGCTAAGGATTGAAGCTAGGATCTCATATATGCTAGACAAGTGTTCTACAACTAAACGGTACTCCAAGATCTTGTTTTTCAAAATTTCAAATTATATAGAATTTTGTCACCTTATCCTTTTGAGGAAAACTTTTGTGTTATGACAAGTCTTGGGATTTTGGCCAGTTTATCAGGAGATGTCCTAAAGCCCTTGAATCTGATCCTTTTTGGGGGTAGGGCTTGGGGATGGCTTAGCAGTTGTGGTTTTGAAGTATACATAGTATCAAGAATGCTTTCTTAGCCTTGCTTATTTGATTTTTTTTCAAGTTTCCTTAAGAAATAATTTGAGTGTGTGTAGGACTGATGCTGTATATTGAATTCTGAATTTATTTAAATCTGATTGATTAGATGAACTTAATTCAGTAATTTCCAAGTCTCTCTCAGACTCATTTTCTTTATAAATTTTTTTTATCGTTTATTTAACTTTATTTTATGTGCATTGGTGTGAAGGTGTCAGATCCTCTGGAACTGGATTTTCAGACAGTTGTGAGCTGCCATGTGGGTGCTGGGAATTGAACCCGGGTCCTCGGTAAGAACACTCAGTGCTCTTAACCACTGAGCCATCTCTCCAACTCCAGACCCATTTTCTAGTGGGCATAAAATCTTATTGTTTTATTTTGCTTTGTTTTATATATGGTTTTGACCACACTAGCCTTAATCCTGTATATCCATTGCTGGCCTTAGTCTTCTGAGTGCTGAGATGCTGGCATTATAGGCATACACCACCGTGTGTGACAGAGAAAAACAGAACAAAAGTTCCTCCATCTTGTATTCCTGCTGAGGCCATTCAGGTTTAAGCAGAATCTGATTTCCTTGATGGAGAGTCTCCTGGAAAACTACGCAACTTTGTTCTAGAAACCTAAGGTCAGTATGTCCTAGCTAACTTCTCTTTCCGTAACTCCAGCTGCCTCTTTGTGCAGGACCCCCTCCAGGTCACTGCTTATCTTGGTGTGACTTAAACTGCCTCTTTGTGCAGGACCCCCCTCCAGGTCACTGCTTATCTTAATGACTGTTAACTGCTGGCCTCTGCAGGAACCCCCTCCAGATAACTGCTTATTTTAATGACTATTAAACTCCCTGCCTTGGCAAGACCCCCTCCAGGTAACTGCTTATTTTAGTCATCTGCCTTTTTTTTTTTGTGCAGGACCCCCTTCTGGTAAGAGCTTATCTTAGTGCATTGATGAGCTCCCTGCCTGTGCAGGAACCCCTCCAGGTAACTGCTTATCTTAGTGACGTAAAACTCCTTGCCTGTGCAGGCCCCCCTCCAGGTAAGTGCTTATCTTAGTGACTTTTAAACTGCCTTCTGCTGTGCAGGCCCCCTTCCAGGTAACCACTTAATAGTCACTTTTAAACTCTCTGCTTCTGTGAAGCTCCCCTGTAGCTGACAACTGAAATGCCAGGATTTAGATTTTAATTTCAAAAACCTGTGCTCTGGACACTCAGGCTGTTGTTACTAGGTGTCCAAATAATTGGATTTAGTTCCAGCCAGCTGGAATAAAGACTTTCATTTGGGTATAAACTGTCTTGAGTAGTCTTCTCGTGGGCCCTTGGTAATACAGGCTCACAGTTTGCTTACTCAATTTTCCTTTCTCTTCCTCCTTCCTTCTATGGCAAAATATAATTTTTTTTAAATGAAAGACTATCAGAAAATGAGTCTAAAGTTCCACTGCAATGAACATCAGAAGGACGCACGTGTTCATGCTGACCTGTGCCTTTCATGTAGCTGGCTGAGCTGCCCAGTCACTCTGCTTAGTGTTCGTGTTTTATGCCTCCTATTAGGCAACGGCTTTCCCATCCACTTCTGTTTTGCTCTTGTTCATGTATTTGGATAGCTTTCCTTTTGCTTCTTCTTTCTCTTGTTTTGCTTCCTTATGCTTTCACACTAGTGTAGGCTCTAATGGCCTCATCTTTGTGTTGCATGTTGGCTTGCAATGCATCTTTCTCCTTCGCCTCCGTTTATTGATTTCTATAAATACCCAGTTCCGCTTGCTTTATATGATGATGCCTCTGCTTGTTTCCAATGGTTTCTGATGTACAGTTGAGAACTGACTTCTCCCATCCTCTGTTTCAGGGGTTTCAGTTGCAAATGCCTGCAGAATCCAGATGGGGAACATGTGTGACATGATTCCTGGTATCACTCTCTTTTTTCTTGAAAAGCTGGTTTTCATGGTGTTTTTCCTTTGCTGTCCTTTAACTTATCATAGAGAGTACTGGATGCCAAGGGACAAGTGTTTCTGAGAGGGTGGGGGAGTCTTTCAGAACATGACCAACCCAATGTGCAGAATGCATCTAAAGGGAAAGGATATACTAATACTTGCTTACTGCTAATTTTCTGGAAAGGTCGATCCAACATTGCCAGAATTTCAGGCCTCTCTACAAAGGAAACTTGAGTAGCTTGAAAAAAAGTGTTTTGATTTTAGTTCTTCAGGGCAGCAGAGTATGTTTATAAATGCTTTAATAATCTTACAGCGGCGCCTGCTTCTTCTGAATTGTGCTATTGTCATGTCACTGTATTATGTTACAAAATAAGGGTGTGTAGAGCAATTCTTGTTTCAGTCCAGTTTGGGGCACGTTTCTTGGTAAAAGTAGAGCTGGACTACAATTTTGGGTACATTTGTATAAATTAGGCTGAGATATCTAGGAATTAATAGACCATTATATGGACATAAAAACAGCAAAACAGGAGTCCTATCAAGTAACCAAAAATCAATATTGTTGTAAATTTTTTGTTTGTCCTAACTATGTTTGTATCTTTGGTTTAATGTAATTGTTTTCTGTGAGTTAAATGACTTTACTGGATACTGAGTTACATGCCTTGAACAAACTACCATTCCCTGTATACATGTCTCCTTAGCAATACAATATTTAGTCAAAGTCAAGCGACATTCTAGGGCTACAGAGGTTTTATGCTTAAAAGCACAACACAGGCATGTGGTAGCTTGAGTAATTTCATAGCACCCAGTCAGGCAGCTCACAACTGCCTGCGGAGCCGGTTCAATGACCAGCAACCATAGCTTGCTGCACTCACTGTACGCATGCCCATCTACCCCCATATGCATCATTTTAATATACACATTAAGACTTTTGTCTGAAACCTAAATTGAGAGGCATTCTCATGTAGCACACAATGGTCTTGAGTTTGCTCTGTCATCAAGATGGCTCTGAACTCCCGATCCTCCTTCCTGTGTCTCCCAGGTGCTGGGATTATAAGCTTTTGCCATCATGCCTGGCAAAATCAGCAAGTTGGACTTACCCACTACGTTAAGCCCTGACTTTGAGCCAGTATGATGTGGTGATGGGAGCTGGGGTGGGTGTGAAGCAAGAAAACAGGGCTTATGTGGACTGTTTCCACTGAGGGCAAGCCATATTCTGTGCTACACTTTTCCTTTCTCATGTTACCCAGCTACTCAAGCATTTTGCATTTTTTGTGCTATATATATGTGTGCGTGTGTCGTGCATGTGTTTGTGTTTCCATGTGTGCAGGTATGCCTATTAATTGTCTTCCTCATACTCACTACCTTACAATCAAAATCTCTCTGTGAACCAAAACGCCTCCAATTTTGTCTAGGCAGACAGCTTGCTCCCGGCAATCCCTGTTTGCGCCTCCCAAGCACTGGGATTGGAAATGAGCTGTCCTGCCAACACTAACACTATGGAGCATTCAGCTTGTGCTAGGGATCCCAACCTGGGTTCTAAAATTTTACCAGAAAGTGCTTTGCCCACTGAGTCATCTCTTCAGCCTCAAGTTGTTAACCCTATATTTATGTACTAGAAGGGAGGGAGGGGAAACAGTGAGGGCGAAGAACATGCACATGGGAGCATAGCTATTTGTTTTTGTCTTCATATGTGGAACGGCCATAGCAGGGTGTGGAATCAGAGGACAACAGGCAGAGGCAATTTTCTCCACCTTGTTCATCTTAGGGATTATACTCACCTTCTCGTTTTCTGGAAGATTTTTTTCACCTTTTGAACCAAGGGTGTTTTGTTTTCTTGTGATGCTAAGAATTGAACCCAGGACCATGCACCAAGCATACTAGGCAAACAATTTACTACTGACTGAACTATTTGCATCCAAGCCCATTAGAGCTTAACAAGGCTAGGTAAGTGTTCTGAGACACGTCCTTAAGCCCTCTTTTTAAGTTGCATTCCCCCCCGAACGTTAATAGTTGATTCCTCAATGTGGCAGTTAAAAATGGCCCGATGTCTGACAGGAGGGAGACATACCCCTGCAGCCTGAGGAGGTCTCTTTCCACTTAGAGAATGTTATGCAGATAACTTAGATGATTGATTTTTTCAGTGTGAGCATGGTGAAGCTTAGTACGCTTATTAAGTAAGTGGAGAGGACAAGGATGATATGCATAATTTCAAGGCTTCTTGAGTTGAAGTTAGGTGTATTTACAGTTTCTTTGTATATAGTCCTGCGGCTTTTAAATTACATGTCACAAAGGATTTCAATAAAAGTTAAAGATTAATCAAAGCTTAAGTTTTCAAGTTTAAAAGTTTAGTAAAAGTAGTTGAGCTGGTATACTTGTTTCATACCTTTGAGGATTTTCTTTTGTAAGTAAAATTATAAAAGGGTTTTTTGAGATAAGACTGAAAGTTGCAAACGTTCTTGGTCCTCGGCAAACATAGCTCCTTCATTCTTTGTCAGATCATTTTTGAGATGCAGTTTGGCTTTATTGGCTGTGTTGAAGTCTTTGACTATTAGTCAGTCCCTTTCTCATCCCTTTGCCCCGCTCCCCAACACAGGGTTTATCTGTGTAACAACCCTGGCTGTCCTGGAACCCTGCCTGCATCTGCCTCAGGAATGCCAGTATTAAAGCCATGTACCCCCACCCCCACCCCCGGCCTTCTTTCCCTTCTTATGCCCCTTAATTTTTTCTTTTCTGTCCTGTTTCACCCACAAATATTTTATAATATTAGCTAAAGGTTTTATAGTTCCAGAGTGATAATCTTTAGATCATTGCCAGAAACAGTATTTCAGTTTATCTTTATGGGCTTTTATACTAATAGTTTTGGGTAGATTCTGCTTCTAAAGTTTGAATATAAATCGCTCGTACCCTTTATTTTGAGAAAACTTTTCTACTTTGCTTTTGTCAGCATTTTCCTGATTCTTTCTGCTTCACATTTTCCGGTAATGAGGGGTAAAACACCTCCATTTACCTCATCTACTTCTGGCTTGATATTTTCACTTAGGGCTATATGATACGCGCGCTGTTTTCTTTTGATTTGCTGCTGAAATGCCTTCGTGGACTTTATGCTGAGTAGGAATTTTGTGCAATTTTGATTTTCCTTTAAAAATGCAAAATAATTAGTTCGTTTTTGTCTTTGTTTTTTTAGGCAGGCATAGATGCACAGACCACTAATCCCAGTCCTGAAGAAGATATTTGTGAGTTTGAGGCCAGCCTAGGCTGCTGTAGAGAGACCCTGTGCCAAAAAGAAAAGGGGGGAGAGAGAGACAGAGAGAGAGAGAGACAGAGAGAAAGAGAGAGAGAGAAAGCTAGCGCTTAAATAACCTAAAGCAACATAGGCCAGTGCTGACTCTAAATGCATAAAACAGTGTAACACTTTGCATTCCAAAATTTTTTGGCATGATACATGACCTCAGTTCATAATCAGTAGAATACTGGTTGTGACAGGATATTCAGTGTCAGGTTTACAAAATTTACAAATTCTGCAGAAAGGTGCATAATAATACATGGCTGTATTAATACCATTGAACTGCTTTCATCAAATGGTTAGGAGAGTTAACATGTAAATAGTATTAGGCTAGGCCTGACTACTAAGGTCCTACCTTGTGAAATGCCTCTGTTTCTTTTTTTTTTTTGGTTTTTCGAGACAGGGTTTCTCTGTGGTTTTTGGAGCCTGTCCTGGAGCTAGCTCTTGTAGACCAGGCTGGTCTCGAACTCACAGAGATCCGCCTGCCTCTGCCTCCCGAGTGCTGGGATTAAAGGCGTGCGCCAGAAATGCCTCTGTTTCACCCTCATCACCAGGAAAAAAAATAAATAAAAGGGATAGATGGCATTTTAATAAAAGTGTCCATTCAAGGAAGTAAAAATTGAATTTAGGATTGAAATTTTGGCCTGTATTTAGGCACTGACATGAAAATACCAGGTTTGGTCATCCATGGATGAACTATTCTTGGACAGCACTTTGATTTTTCTAGTTAACATATAGTGTGTGTTGGAATTTATTGCACCATTTTCCAACATACTTTTTTTTTTCCTTAAGAAATTAGAAAGAGGGGGCTGGAGAGATGGCTCAGAGGTTAAGAGCATTGACTGCTCTTCCAGAGGTCCTGAGTTCAATTCCCAGCAACCACATGGTGGCTCACAACCATCTGTAATAAGATCTGGTGCCCTGTTCTGGCTAGCAAGCATACAGATAAAACACTGTATACAAATAAATAAAATCTTTAAAAAAAAAAGAAATTAGAAAGAAATCAATGGGGGGGGGAATGAACTTGCCAAACAGGGGAGGAAAACACGCCTACATTCTCTCCACTTTTTCTATACTGTTGATACAGGTTTATAGAACAAAGCATAAACGGGGGGTCCTGGGGCCCACTCTCCCCAGCATTGCTTTGTAAGACCACCCACATTCAGTCAGGTGGCCTAAGTCCAGGCTAGGTTACTTAGGGAGGCCTACAATTAATACTTAAGACCTTGTCTCAACAAGAACCCCTCACCAATAAAAAAAAAAGAAGGATAACAAAAATTATAAGATGTGCATCCGTTGGTTGAAATTTTGTCCGAACTGTGAGATCTCTTCTGGTGGCAGTTTGTAATTGTCCTTCAGCTTTACTCTCTGGCTCAGCATGAGACTCCTCAGGAAACTTCAATTCTTCAGGGATGGTGATAGGCTAAGTCATAGTTTAAATATCTCTGCCTTCCTGCCAGGGCCTTTGGAACACTAGTCTCAATGATGCTGATCTCAGTTCTGATTCTATTGGGTTGCCATGAATTTCTTATCAAGTCCTTATTGCTTAGCATTCAATGTAGAAAGGACTGCTGATTATTCTTTGAGTCACTGCTTAAGGTGTTGTTGTCACGGGGTCATCTGGCTCTCAGGACAAAGACCCGAGACAGACTTTCAGGCTCCTTTCAAGGGTGTGTCACAGGACATTGTAAA